CCCAGCGGCAGGGCTCCTCGAGCCTCGAGCCTCGAGTGTCGAGCGTCGAGCCTCCATCCTCGATCCTCGATCCTCGATCCTCCTCCTCAGGCCCTCGATCCTCGATCCTCGAGCCGACACAATGCTCAGGCCCTCGATCCTCGATCCTCCTCCCGCAGCCCGCCCCGCGCAGACCCGCGCGGCCCCGACACAGGCGGCCCGAGCCTCCCCCGCCGCGGGGGAACCCGCCGCCGCCGCCGCCTCGCCGCGCCTCGGAGCCGCCTCGGATGGCGACGAGGCCCCGGGGGGCGCCAGCTGTCGTCTGCCCAGCCCCCCCAGAGGCGTGACAAAGATGGCAGCGAAGGTCCTTCGCTAGTTCTTCGGCCTCTGGGGGCCCCTGCGGGCTCTCGGGACGGTGAAAAAAAAACGGCTCGGGGTGAGAGACTGGTCCTGGGGAATGGGTTGCTGGGCCTGTTTTCCACCACCACCAACAGAAGTTGGAGGGGGGAAGGAGGTGGAGGATGAGGAGGAGGACGAAGAGGAGGAGGAGGAGGAGGAGGAGGAGGAGGAGGAGGAGGAGGAGGAGCTGGAGGACCCCCTCCCCCTCCTGCTGATGGTGGTGGCGGTGGAAAGCAAGCCCACCATGGGTCCAGACCGCTGGGGGTCCACGTCGTGAAAACTCCATGTCTTCGGGGGCCTGGTGCGCGCCCGAGGCGACCCTGGCCAGGCCGGTCCTGGACCCATGGGGGAGGGAGGAGGGGGGCGGATGGGGCAGGGAGGACCCGAGGAAACCCAGGAGGCGTCGGCGATGCTGCTGCACACTCTTCTGTCCCACGCCCCTTCTTCATACTCGGCGGCTTGGATCCGTCACGTGATGCGAATCTGAGGAAGAGCAGGGGGGGAGGAGTCGGGGGAGGAGGAGGAGGAGGAGGAGGAGGAGGAGGAGGAGGAGGAGGAGGAGGAGGATCAGGTGGGGGGAGGGAGCTTCACATCACGTGACGAAATCCCTCTGCCTATCTACGTCCTCGCCAGTATCCCTCGCCACAGCAGCGGGAAGCCCCCCCCCTTTGAGTGTCGAGCGCCCGGTGGGCCTGCATGCAGCTCGGGCGAGACCGCGTGCTGCAGAGGACCCGCCTGCTGCTCCTCGGGCTGTATGGGGCAGCGCAGCGAGGCAGCGACGAGAAAATCTCTGGAAGTGTCCAGCGATGGACCCGTTTCGACAAGCTTCCGCCCATCATCCGTGCAAGTGTGGCGCACGTTCCGCGGCGGAAGTCTTGGACGCGAGCTCCAGTCTGAAAAGAAACCGCCCTCCCTCCGTGCAGCTGTTGCACGGGTGAGAACTCCGGGTCCTGGGATGCGAGGGAAGTCTCAAGCGAGATCCACCTTTTGAAAACGCGCCGCCATCCATCTTTGTGGCTGGTGGGAACTTCAATAACGAACGTGCGCGGCGCTAAGGCGAGCGACGCATTTCGGATACCACAAGCCCTTCATCCTAGCAGCTGTTGGAGTTTGTTCAGTTTAACGGTTGTGATGTGGCCCAGCCTACTGACACATTTGGTGGTGCGACGGGGGGATTTGCATATAAAGAGCAGGAATGGAGGACCAGGACGGGGAATGATGCTGATGTTGCTGCTGCTGATGATGATGATGCTGATGATGATGGTACTGCTGCTGTTGTTGTTGTTGTTGTTGTTGTTGTTGTTGTTGTTGTTGTTGTTTATGATGATGATGATGCTGGTGCTGATGATGGTGATGGTGATGGTGATGGTGATGATGATGCTGAAGCTGAGGCTGATGCTGATGATGATGAGGATGATGCTGATTATGATGATGATAATGATGATGCTGATTGTGATGATGATGATGATGATGCTGATGATGACGACGATGATGATGATTATGATGATGAAGATGATGGTGGTCGTGGTGGTGAGGATGATGATGATGATGATGATGATGATGATGATGATGATGATGATGATGATGATGATGAGGAGGAGGAGGAGGAGGAGGAGGAGGAGGAGGAGGAGGAGGAGGAGCGGAGGAGGAGAGAGAAGGAGGAGGCGCTGGAAGAGGATGACTATGAGTTGATGGTCGTGATCGTGATGACGATGATGATGAGAAGCACGAGGAGGAGGAGGAGGAGGAGGAGGAGGAGGAGGAGGACGTGGAGGAAGAGGAGGAAGGAGGAGGAGGAGGAGGAGGAGGAGGAGGAGGAGGAGGATGATCGCCGTATACGCCCTCCAGGTCAAGCTGTCGGGGCGCACACACGGGTCCTGAGTCCAGGGTTGGGCTGGCCAGGGTTCCAGTGTCGGTGTGCAGCTGGCGTCCTCCTGCGAGGGCGGCGCCTCAGCAGACGTGGGGGGACGAGCTGAGATCCTACGAGCAGGAGAAGCGGTACACCGTTCACGAGGCACCGTGGGGAGGGGTCGGCGGCGAAAGTGCTCAGATGGAGCATCACCGTTTTTTTGTTGCAAAAAATTGGAAAGGAACAGACTAGCAACCGGCTGCGTTCAAACACGTGTTGTGTTCCATCTGGACGAGCTGAGATCCTACGAGCAAGAGAAGCGGGCCGCCGTGCACGAGGCACCGTGGGGAGGGGTCGGCGACGAAGTCCGAGCCCTACCCTCGCGGATCCACGATGCTCGATGGACGGCGGGGGCAGTGTTCGGAATTCGTCGAGCACGTGGCGAAATCCGAACCCTAGCCAGCCTACCCCGCCTTCCATCGATTCAGGAGAGGCCATGGTTGGCGGGGGTAGGGTTCGAACGTCGCCACCTATTATGTGGGGAGGGGGTCCAGGGTCCATTTCGATCCGATCGAGCCAGTTCGACATCGGGTTTGGCCGGCCCGGCCCGCTGTTCCGACACTCCGATGCGGCCCGATGCTTGCATGGCGCTGCTGTGCATCTGGACGCGCCCGATCATATTCGATTCCGACTCCGTGCTGCTGCAGCCCGCTCGACGCACGATCCGTTTCGATCCGTTGTCCCGATTCGATGCTGACTTGTCCTGGGATCGGAGCCTCACACTGCCCATAGGGCGTTGGAAGAGGGAGCTCGACCCCCGGCGACGTGATTTCAAATCCCTTCGCTTTTCCAAACTCTGGTGTCCGCGGCCGTTCTGGGGCCCTGGGGCGATCAAATCATGACCCGCGCGGTGCAAAGCTGTCCCTGGGGGATGGGGTCGAGAGGTCTTGGGCCCACCTTTTTCCAAAGTCACGTCGTCGTTGGTCTACAGCCGCACCGAAGGCACCGAGGTGCTCATACGACGGTGTCCCAAGGGACAGCGGCCAGATACTTGACGTAGGGGTCGGACTCGAGTTGGCCGTTCCGGGCTGGCTCGGCCGAGGCTTCGACAAGAGGAGCAGAGACGGGAGCGAAGGACAGATTTAGGTGCGCATGGGCGCATCGGAGTAGCTGCATCCACGAGTCCTTCTTCCCTTCTTACTTGTGTCGCTTCCCCTCCTCATGGTGCCCTGAGGAGTCATGAGATTCCAGTGGGAACTCAAGCAACCAGTGGCAGACCCACTCTCCTCCAGTCTTCTTGACGTTTTGCGGCGTTGGCCAGAGAAGCAGAGTGCAGACTGCGAGCTGAGGTCTGCGTTGAGGGAGGCTCTCCTGGCCGCTCCCTCAGGGAGCGGCCAGGAGACGTGCAAGGGAATGCAATACACGCGCGCTGCTTGACAGGATGATGATGATGATGATGATGATGATGATGATGATGATGATGATGATGATGATGATGATGATGATGATGATGATGATGATGATGATGATGAGATGACGATGATGTTGATGTTCTGCCCGTTGTTGTTGATGATGATGTTGGTAATGCTGATGCTGCTGATGATGATTATGGTATCCCGATGATGATGATTATGACGGTGGTGATGATGATGGTGATGGTGATGCGATGCTGATGATGATGAGATGATGATGATGATGGATGGATGATGCTGATGATGATGATGAGATGATGATGATGATGATGGATGATGATGAGGAGGATGATGAGGAGGAGGAGGAGGAGAACGAGTAGGAGGATGAGGAAAACTATGACGAAGAGGGAGGGTGAGGAGGAAGATGATGATGATGAGGATGAACATATATATGAGGAGCTGGAGTTGGAAGAGCAGGGTTAGGATGCGGATGTTGTTGTTGATGATGATGATGATGATGATACTGATGCTGATTATGATTATGATTGCGATGATGCTGATGCTGATTCTGATGCTGATGCTGATGATGCTGATGAGGAACATGAGGAGAACGAGGAGAAGGAAGAGGAGGACAAGGAGGAGGAAGACGAGAATGAGGTTGAGGATGATGAGCAGGAGGAACAGGATGATAATCACTTGTGAGCACGAGTCAGGGAACAATGAGCAAGAGGAGCAGGAGAAGGAGGAGGGGGAAGACAGGGGAGGGAGGAGAAGAGTGTACAGCGCGAGGTCCGCGTGAAAGATATTGCCGTCTGCCTCTGCGGAACCCGGCAGCGGGTTCGCTCAAGGTTTGGCGGTCAATGTTGTCGCAAGAG